AAATAACTCCCAGGAGATGAAGAGACATATTGGAACACCTGCCTTTCCGTTTTAAAATGGTGGCTTTGTACTTCAATTCAAGACAAACGAATTCCACTCAGGAGTCGATCAGATATCGAAAATAGTGAAGAAATATGCGTCTGCTCGCTAACCTTGAGGTCACCTAACATTTCGGAGTCAGAGGCTGGTCCTGGCATTTAACGGCAATTGAACTCAAAGATTCTGTACAAAAAAAATTAAAAACAAACCGCGCAAAAAAAAAAAACCGTCTATGATAATGAATTTCATAAATTAGAAGTTTTACGTTAAGGATGATTATCTTTTTTATTATTCCACAAGGTGCTTTGCTTATTCGAAGGGTATGAATTTTGCATATGCGATCTATGCGTAAGAAAAAAGCCCTTAAAAATAATGATATTTTCCTCTTCTACCAGAAAATATAACTCCTGTTCAAGGAAAATGTATACTAAGAGTTACAAAGGAACAGGGCGATCGGCTTTAGACTCAGGTTGAATTTAATCGTTTTATTGTTTTATTTTTGTTCTAAAAATAAAACGAGACCATGCGGCTTGGATAAGATAAATATAACGCAAATACGCTTGAAAAAAATTAATTTTCTTTGTGTCTGTACTTAGTAAAAACATGGCTCTTAACTGCGCGCTTCTCAAATGATCCATGCACACGACGGTGGTAATCCACAAGTTCCCTTTTACGACAAACCGTCATTTGTGTTTCTCTTGAATGCGAGCTTAAGTGATTTCTTCAAAAATCGAACTGACCCTTAAGGCACACCTCTTTGAATTTATTGAGACAGGAAGTGAACGTCTTTCAAAGCAGAGCAATAGGGAGACTTCACTCGGTGATTATTTGGATCAATCGAGATCTCTTCTTAGATTTGCCGTTAAAGTGACTCATTCAGAACCTTCAGCCCTTACCGCGGTTGAAACTGAGAATGAGCGGCTGGAAAATAGAGGCATGGCAACGTTATCACTAAGAATAAAATGTGAATTTAAATGGCGACTTTTTGCCACTTCCAAATTGTTTTTACGCGCAGTTCAGGCTTTGACCAAAGTGATTTTGTAATGTAAATTTTAAAAACATTTAGCTTTAAAACTCTACTGCATTCAAATGTTTGAGAAGGAGATTATAAATGAAAACAGAGACGTCTTTCATTTTCATGTCCAAGGTAATGAAAAGATAAAAAACAAAGTAAATTTATCTGTCAAATACTACAATAAGGTTATTGATTTTTAATTCTTGTTTAAACAAATGCAATATTTCCACAAGCTGTTAAAATTAAAAAGTAAAGAAAAATAGAAACTTAAATTGTAAATATTATATCGAGAATTAGTAAAAATTGCCAAACAAGCGAACAAAATTGGGAATAAAGAGTTTTCTTTTTTTTGCATTTACCGTATCTATCTGGTTTGAACTGGTAACTTCCTATTTTTCTTTTAAGTTTCTATCATGTGCATGACACATGAAACCGACTGGGTAGGCCCTGGGAACAAGTCGTTATCTATCACCCAGGGG